AGCAGAGAAGGCGTCCCATTGGGGAGATGGTCTCATCCAGTGCCTGGCGGAGGGTCTTAGGAGAGGAGGGTCAAAGAGGTGTCCCCAAAGGTGCACTCAAAGACATACCAGATGAGCAGGGAGCAAGGCCTTTATATGCACGGGTGGGCTGACCTATATGTACATATGTGAACCAAGGGGCTGACTCGTGCCCTTGGAAGTCAAGAGAGGATATGAGGTCCCTTGGAACAGGAGTTTCAGAGGTTGTGGGCCAACACACGGGTGCCAGGAATTGAACCCAGATCCTCTGGAAGAGCAGTCAGTACTCTGATCCCCAAAGCCACCTCTTCAGCCCTATGCCTCAGTTTCTAATGGACACAGGTGTAACAGTTAAAACACAATCCTATAAACAATGGGGCACTGCTCCCAGTCCTAATGATTAGATTTGTGAAATGTCTCGTCTCGATTTCTTTCTTTTTCTTTTTTTTCCTGGATTTTTTGAGACCCTAGGTAGGCCAGGACCTGTAATGAAAAAGAGTGTTGTTTTTTTTTCTTTTCTCTCTTTAGGATGATACTGAGGATGAAGGTAGGCAAGTGGTTCCTGCTGAATCACCCTCAGCCCTGCCACCTCCTGCTAAGCCACACCTTCCAGACCTTTTTTTACTTTAAGGCAGGGTCTCTCTAAGTTGCCCACGCTGGTCTTACCTTACTCTGTAACCCAGACTGACTTTGAACTTGGGATCTTCCTACCCCAGCCTCTTGAGTAGGGAGGGTACCAGACTTGTGCCATGGCACCTAGTAGACAAATGGTGCTGGACTGTGGGGCAGCGGGCTACAGAGATGCCCAGCAGAGGATGGGATTGCCTGATTAGTAGACAAGGACTGAAATACGCAATATGAATGAGTCTGCTCCAGCCACATAGGAACAGGAAGACCCTCTGGGTCTGGGCCTGCCAGCATTGCCAGTCTCTTCTGGGGGCTGCTGCCTCTGGCTACTTCTGGCCACCCACTGTCATAGGAGATCACTATTTTTCACTCAGTCTGGTCATTTTGTTGCTAGAGAAATTCCCTAGTGACATTCTAATTTAGACCCCAGGGACTCTCAGAATAAGACATACAGAAAAGACGACAAGAGTCTCACCTTGAAATGCTTTTCACCGTCAGCCTGAGAATGGACTCTTGTCCTTAGAGACTGTGACCCCGAGCAGGGTCACTGCTGTGCTTGTGCTGAGCAGGGAGCCCCATGAGGGGTCCACTGCAAGACGCAAAGCTTCAAGAACTTCAAGTTACAAGTGGAACACCCTCTTCGCCCCCCCCACTACTTCCCTTCCCAATTCCACATTCCCTGGAAAGCAGTGAATACAAGCCAGCAAAGCCAGTTATTTATCCTGTGGTTTAATACTAGAGTAACACCAAGAGGCTCCCTGTGCCATCCCCAAGCCCAAGCAGACTACATTTGCAAAGCTTCTGCCACATGTGGCCATGTCCCCAGAGTGAATCCTGGAAGGCCTTTCTTGACATTTGCTTTGGTAGCCGCACTCCCGCCCCCCGGCGGGCCCCCCCCGGCGGCCCCCCCCACCCGCCATGAAGGCTCATGTGCAGTGTGTCTCTTGAGCCCACGTGCTTTCCTGCCCAACCTCCCTCCGTTTTCCTCTTCCCAAGTGTCAGTTGACAGAGTCTGAGCGAAAGGTCACAGACCAGCTTCTGTTGCTCTCATGACAGCCATGGAAAAGACTAGATTGCTGTGCCCAGTATTTCCTGGGCTTAGCTAGCACAAGGGCACCCTCGGTGCCTTATCTCCTCCCTCCCCCCTCCACCACACACTCACATGCTTGGGAGGAGTTTCCTAATCTAAATCTGGGGAAACTGAGGGATGGGTGGCAATGACCTCCTAACCAGAGGGGCATAAGGGCTGGCACGAAAGCCTCAGCCCCTGTGCCTGTCTGCCACAGGAAGACGGGCTGAGTGTCCCAAGAGCTCTGTGCCCACAGCCTCACTACCCCCACGTCCAGCAGGCCACACCCACATTTTCACACTCCTTCCTGCAGTGCAGCATACATCAGGCCAGGGATCTAATCAGCGTCTGTAAGTAAGGATGCTATCCAGGGCTTGGCACAATGACTCATGCCTGTGATCCCAGCATGCAGGAGGCTGAGGCAAGAGCATCAGGAGTTGAAGGCAAGACTGGCCTTCAGAATGAAACCCTGTTTAAACAAACAAATAGTAACAACAGAACCTCAACCCTTTTTTTAGGGCTAGCACAACCGTGCCTGAAACACCCTGATGTGGCATGTTAGGGACACAGAAGCCCTAGGTTCCCTGTAGGGACAGCAGTGCCCACTGTGCACCTGTTTCTATCCCATTCTATCACTCAGGCCCAGTGGCCACTGCCATCTTAGCCCTGGCATAGTTAAGGAGAGGAGCATCCACACTGTTGGATCCCTGATGCTCAGGACCCCAGATCCTCTGGTCTGTAGCATATGACCCTGCTGTTCATCACGGGTGCCACAGGGTGGGCTGTGCAGTGGAGCAAACACCACAGGGTGCTGTGACACTCAGTCCTGTCTGCACCCAGCTCTGAGCAGGGACCTGGTGATTGGCAGTAGTGCCACAGAGTGCCCTGATCAATGGCCTTGAGATTGTCCAAGGGTGAGCCAGACATACTGGGCACACTTGGAATCTCAGTACTCAGGGAGCAGAAGCAGGAGGATCACAATTTGAGGCCAGCCTGGGCTACCTAGTGAAACCCTTGTCCCAACAAAACCCAAGGCCCCGGAGTTAAATGCTCAGGGCCCAGCCTGGATAGACACTTCTTAGGAACTCAGGTCAACAGAGGAGAGCTGTGTTGCTAAAGATTCCATCTTGCAGGTCTCCATGGGCTGGGATCCAGATGAGGCTTACGTTCTTTAGTGCTCTGGGATGGCCCAGAATGGGGGAGATAACGGGGCTGCAGGAAGGCATCTCTGCCTCCCACCCTTGAGGGCACTGGACAGGAAGGGCTGTCCAGCAGGAGGCCCGCAGCCAAGTCCTCAGAAACTCAAGGGTAGTGTCTGAGGAAAGAGCCACCGCCTAGGTGCCCACCGGCCTGCTCAGCTCCAAGTACTAATTAGGCCTCACCTCACCCGGATGGAGGCGGCGCTCATTACGCGGCCTTTCTGTCAGACTTGAAGGGTGACGAACAGGTTGGCTGAGGTCATCCCGGAGTCAGCAAGGCGGCTTGGGCAGGAAATAGGAATGCAGAGCCCCAAGTTCCTCCCTGGTGGCTATTCTGAGCTGCCACCCTGGCTGGGGTGAGGGACTGTCTTTGCAGCCATTGTCTTTCCCTCCAGTCTTCTGGCAACACCTTGCAAGGGCCCCAAGCAAATTTCAGTGCCATCTGGACTTGTCACACGCAAGAGCGCCTCCCACACCGTGGTCCCGATGCCTGGTCTGGTCTGCTCTCAGCCCTCTGTGACACCTGTGCCCTGCTCTTCCCTTTGCTACATTGTGGGACAGAGGAGGAGAGGAGGGGAAGACAACATGCTGAGGGCTCCAGCTGAGTAAGGGCCATCTCTGTCCTCCACACAGCAGATGTGCCCCATGCTCAATGAGGCTGGCCTCCTCGCCCTCTCCTTCGTCCTCTGCTGACTTCACATGCTGGAACCTTAAGAGTTTTCAGCTGAGGTTGTGCTTCTGTTGCTAGTCTCATGGTGTGCGCGTGAGAGAGAGAGAGAGAGAAAAGGCAGGAATGTGGAAGCCAGAGGTCAACATCCGGTGCCGTCTTCTCCATTTTATTTTTGAGGACAGTCTCACTTCTCACTGATTCATCTAGACTGGCTGGCCTGCAAGCTCTGGGGATCTGCCTGGCTTTGCCTCCCCAGTGCTAGGGTTACAGACGTACAGTGTGTCACCCCTAGCCTTCTATACAGATCCTGGAGGTCTGGTCCTCATGTCTGCACACAAGTGCTTTGGCGACTGATCCATTCCACCCCCTTACCCTTTTATGAATGTAATTAAGAAAACAAAAGCAAGTATGAAAGAGGGCAGGTGAATCACCATATCATTAATGAATTTGTTAACGAACTGACTGCAGTCCTCTTGGGTAGCCTAAGGCCTGTGTGGCCCTAGCTCCTTTGCTCGCTTAGACAAAGTTCCCCTCTGGGGTGAGGAGATGGCCAGAATGAGGGACATGCTGACCTACTATATGAGGGCGCCCAGAGAAGATGGGAGTGAGCGTGGGCCTGGTGTTGGCCGGATTCTGAGGGTTAGTGGGCAGCATCATGGCCATGTGGAGAGGGAGGGAGAGGTGTGGGCTGCCACAGCATCCTCTGGGGGTACTTCTAGAGGAAGACACATTTGGACTCAGTGGAGCCTGAAACTAACTTAACAGACCAGCTGCGGGGAGGCTGGGCCTTCAGAGACAGGGAGGGCAGAAGAGACCAAGAGCCCCTCTGATGGTGTGGGGGCCGCTCAATGGTGGAGGGACTCAGCAAGGTTGGGCTATGAGTGTGAGGAGCCTGTGACTTGACAAGCAGGAGGAATGACAGGGTCAGGGGCTAGCCTGGCCTGGCCTGAGAGGTGTGACCTGGTACTATGTCTGAGGGATGTGGGAAATCAAAGGAAACCTGGGTAGAAATGGCAGGAATTGTGGGGGAGGGCTTCGGGGATGGGAATAGCCCGATCGAGAGCGGAAGGAAGGCATGGTGAGGGCGAGAGAGACAAGCGGAAGAAGGTGGTGCTGGGAAAGATGGCTGAGAGGTGAGGGGCGGGAGGGACCCTGAAGTGTGATGGGCCGGTGGGCAGTGCTTTTTGACTGGAGGGAATGAATGTTTTCTCCCTGGTTGCAGCAGTTGGAGGGGCTCCAGAAGCTGGGTCATGAATGAACACTGCAGAGTGTGGCGGACACCTGCTAGGCTTCCAGCTCAGCTGTCCCCACCTTGCTGCCTGGGGTGCCGCCTCCCTGGAACTTCCCGGACACTGTCAGGTACAGACTACACCTCTCTGGAGACCATCATATTCCTTCACAGTCTCCCGCTGGTGTGTGAGCCAGTTTCTCAGGAAGGAAATTACCAGATGGCCTGGCTAACTGGAAAGACAGCCTAGCCCAGGTCAGAGGGTAGAAACCAAATCATTGTTCACTGGCTACAGGAAGGCCATCTTCTCCAACAGCAAGGAGAACAGGAAGGAAGTGAAGATGTAGGGAGATAGGAACCCTGAGAGGCCTGTGAACACATCCACACCCACACGCCATGGAGGTCAGCCTCCCTGATCCCCTTCTGTGGCTAAGGAGGGCATCTGGCTGAGGCCCCTGGACTCACTGAGACACTAGTGTTAGGTGCCTACAGCCTCAACAGGTGGAAGCCCCCCTGAAGGGTGTCCCAAGGGGAACTGCCTAGACTTAGGGTCCCCATGGCCAGAGCTCTGCAGCCAAGCCCAGGGACCGGGTGAGGTTCTAGGGCCTTGCCTGCTGCGTCCACCTGTCATTAGGCCATACCCAGCTGTTCCTCCCCAAGCTGCAGCCTACACCTTAAGGTGGGAGGGACACTTTCAGGGTGGCCACAGGGACATTCCCAGGGCAAAGAAGATGGGACGCAGGCTCTAGTGACACTCTGTCAGACCTACACCCCTAACATGGATGTCGCAGCCCACACAGCCACTCTGCTTTTAGGATCTCCCTGCTAGGAGGAGGCACCTCCTGGGAGCAACATCGTAGTGAACAGCAAAGAATATCACTTTCAGAAGATAAATGAAAGCAACCATTCTGGTTTTTTTTCCCATCTGAAATAGGAGTTCTGACGAGTAAGAGTATCTTGAACAGTAGTTAAACCTAGCTTCTGGAAGAAGCTTATCAGCTGCTCGGCACCCACAAGCGGCCCAGAAACAGCCTCTGCAGGGCATCCAGGCCCGATAAACGGTGCTGTGCCGCTCTCAGACCTAGGGGCCAGGCCATGGCAGGTAGCGTGTGAACAGAGTGAATTCTAACCAGACACTGTTCCACACGATGCTTCCCCTGGAGCCCAGATGCTCGCCCAGTGCAGGCCCTAAGCCCTACCTCCTGCTCCACTTCTTCTTACTGCAGGCCATTAGCAGTCTGGGCAGCTGCTGTGCCCACCAGGCTGCATGGGGGCACAGTGGGGCAAGCAGTCCTGCCAGGAACAGCACTCTGTAGCCAAAGAGTAGGTCCTGTCTGCTCTTGTGGTCCCCAGCAGGTCACATGCACGTACATCTGGAAATGCACGTGTGGGAGGCTACAGACCCCCTACCCCAGCTCTAATGTTTTCCATTCTAAGCCTGCCCTGTGCTGCTGCTGTGCCTTCAAAGAGCCTTGTGTGTCCCTGGGCCTGCAGTGAACGCAGCCAGCATCTCTATGGCAGAGTCTCAGTGAGGTCCAACTATTTTGTCCTCAGTTCTACAGACAAACGTCTGTTCAGTTCATTTCCTCAAGAGAAAAGGAAACTTAGGGCCGAACTAAACTAAGCTCTGGGTCTCAGGACCTGAGCTGCCTATACCCAACCTGCAGGCCATCCCCAGGGGCTGGATGCTCCGTGGGACAGATGCAGAGGCCCCAAGCACAGAGCAGAGGGTGTGAGCACACTTGCTCTGGAGGGCAGACTATCCAAGTGCCGCCTCCCCTCTCGAAACCAGCTGTAAACACAGATAGGGAGGGGCCTCCACGCCTGCCAAGGGAGGCAGCGACCGCGTGAGTAATTGACTCAAGGAAAACAAGTGCAGCAGGAGTGTGCGCCACGCTCACGCGCATCGCTGGCTGCTGCAGAGTGGCTGGGATTCCCGAGACACGGGCCCTGGCTCTGCCATGCTGCCTGCTGCTGGCCTCTGGAGTCCACAGTATAAAGGAAGGAGGGACTTGTGATAAAGGTAGGAGCCTGGTGGCTGTCACTCACTGCTACTGGCTGAGTGGGGCTGAGGATGAGCAAGCCAGGGAGGGCAGCCCCATGGGAGGAGAGAATTGATAGCCTGCCACTAGTGAGAGTCTCACAGACATGGAGGGACAGAACAGAACCTGAGTTCCTGGACAGGTTTACTCAAATAAGAGTGCTGTAGATGCAGGGTCTGAGAGAGCTGGAGGGCACGGTCCCTGTCGTCAGTGTTGGGGAGCTTGTTCTCATCAGGGGACCCGGGGGCTCTCATAGCTCTGTTCCATGCTGAGGAAGGAGGGTTGAAAGGGGACCAGGTGGAGAATAGCCATAAAGCCTGGGTCCATACAGCTACACAAGACCAGGTCAGCAGGAACATGGCTGTGGGCTGGTGACCAGGAGAGGACAGAACACTCACTAATATCAGCCACAGTGGCCACAGAATACCCACTGTTCCCTGGAGACCGTGGAGCTGTGGTCTGGTGGATGAGATTCCCATAATGTGTGCTCTGTTCAGCCACCACTGGCCACAAAGCCAGGCAGCCTGGGAGAGCCAGTGTGCCTGGAGACTGGGCCTTCTGTGCTGAGTGTGCAGGGAGGTGCTGCAGAACAGAAGCAACAGCAAAGTAGACCCTGCAGAGTGACCAGAATAACAGAGAAGCCACAAAGAGGTACCTTCAGGAGGGAGCCAGGAGGGTAGTGCTGGGGTACACTAACCCCCAGTAGCCACTTTCTAGCCCCCTCCCATGAAACAGCAAGCAGGGGGGTCACCAAGTGAAACCCATGTCTGGTGGAGGATACAGCAAGCATTTGTCCTTGAAGGAGGGCAGAGCCACTTATAGCACTTCCCAGGACCCCACTCCATGGCCTTGCTTTTTGTTCATCCACTGTCCTAGCTGCTGGGGGCACAGGCTAGGACTTACTAGTGTCTTTACTCAGTAGCCTCTCATGTGCATCCAAATGAGGGTCCCAGCATTACCTGCTAAGCTGAACCCTGCGTGCCTGACCTGGGGAGGAAGAGGGTACAAGCTGATGTCCAGAAATGCACAGTGCACCTGGCATCAGAGTGATAGCTATCACTGGAACAGACTATAGCGTGGGTCTCTCCATTTTCCTCCCGATGAGCCTCCCCATCCCACCCGGACCCTGCTGCCAGCCTGTGCATCTGTAGTGTCCCTCACGGCAGGAGGACCTGCCACTCAATGCCCTGACCCATAGCACAGTCCGTACCCTCCTGTATGCTGTGTCGAGCAAGTGGAGAACAGCGCTTGGGTGGCACAGCTTCCTCCCAGTGGGGGCCTAAGGCTGGCAGGACCAGCGCCAACACCAGCAGCCTGGCTTCCTAGCTGTGTCCCCTGCACTCTGGGAAATGGGAATGTTCGCTTCCAGTGTGTCTGTTCAGATGCTTTCTCTTTTTTGGTTGTGTGGGCAGGGGGTCTGGTTGGACCGAAGTACGGTTTGAATGTAAGGTTTCCCCTAAAGAGCATGTCCCTGAAGAACAAGTAAAGAGGAATGCTCTCTGTAGATGCACTTGCCAAACTCTCGTTAGTTACATCAGGATTAACTGGACAGACTGCAACACGGGCTCTATGCTGCCCCATAGGTCAGTGACCCTGGGGGAGGAAAAGGAATGCCTGGGCTCACCCAGGCCTCCCACATCTCCCAGCATTGGTGGATTTGGGTGCCCACAAACCCAGCAAGCCTCAAGAGTTAACTACAAAGGGCCAGCCATTTGAGGAAAATTATGTGGGCACAATGGAGCATCCACGCTAGGCCCCCAGGCATCACCAGCCTTAGAGGCGCCTGGGCCTCCGGTTGCTACACAGCTCCAGAGCAGTAGCTTTTCCAGGCCCTGCTCGCAGGGTATGGGGGGGGCTACAGGTGTACAACACTCATATCCCACATTTGCTCACGTGTGCTTGTGCTGGGGGACACCTGATACCGTGCACCAGGCAGACACGAGAGTGGGTGGGGACAGCCATCAGGTGAGGACGGTGGTTGGGGCAGCCCAGCACAGGATGTGGTTTGAGGTTGTGCGGGTTCTGTCCCCCCAAAGCCCCCAGTGCCAAAGGCAGCAGGAGTTCTGATGGTGGTGAGAAGCCCAAGGCACGGCTGGTGTGGCCACGGCACAGGAGGGCACGTGTAACATGCTTCTAAAGGCTTCTGCTGAGGAGTCTGGTGGCTCACCTGGAACTCTGATTTCCTTCAGAAACGGTCCAGGAGTCTCACCATGGCTGTGAATGTCCCTGAAGTCTCAGAGGCCTGGCTCCAGCCTGCAGACACACACACACACACACACACACACACACACACACACACACACACA